TTAAGTTACAAGAGGGTACAGTACATTTCTTGCTCCAAAGAACAGAGTCCTGTGTGTTTATGTATGTAGCTTCCAGAACATATCGGGGTGCCGCACTGTGAGCCGACTTGACAATCCTAAATTTGCTATCAGCATAATTCCTCACACATTTGGGATTATTCAGCAAAAGTTGCCCAACTGCAGAACCATATTTAATGTCAGACACAGTGTTGCATGTTTTGCAAAGGGCAGAATGATCTGGTATGATCAGCGCCTTGCTTGTTGTGAAGGGTTATATTATTTGATACAATCCACCAGTTCGTATGATATACCGTCTCATTTTTGGCATCACAGCAGCACTAAAATTCATATAACCCTTTACTTATTTGTATTATAAACAAACAATTGATTTGGCTTGACAGAAGCCTTCTGTTAGTGGCAAACACCACTCCTATTACTACTGCATAATAGCAAACAGTTCCTATTGATCAAACTTCTGAAATATATTACCCAGATAATCTGATGTAGACTGGGCAACTTTCAAGAACAAGAATGACTGCCTTAGGACCTTCCAAGAGTTTGTGTGATGCACAGTAAGAAAGATCGAATCAGGATGACTACATCACTGGCAATGCCAGTATTTATTGTCTGTCCCGAACTGCTTAAGACTCAATCACTCTGCTGTGGGTTTGGAGTCACATGTAGACCAGACCAGGTAAAGACAGTAGTTTCCTTCCCTGAAAGATGAACCGGACGGGCTTTTCTCCAATAATCAATGCGTGGTCATCATTAGACTCTTAATTCCAACATGTGCTGTGGCAGGATTCAAACCTAGATCCCCTCGAGCATTAGCTGGGTCTCTGGATTAACAGCCCAGCGATAACGCCACTAGGCTATCACCTCCCCTCTACATATTGAAAATATGCAAGGTGTCATTCCATCAAAGTCACATTTCTCATGGAAATTAATAATTATATTTGTGAGCACCGGGTCTAATGGGGATCCCATGGCAGGCCTTTCTATTTGGGAATGCACGGTGTAATTGAAACGGAACTCAAACGTTCATAAGTACAACAAATACAAATTCACCCAACTTGGATGAGTCTAGATTTCCATTGTAGAATACAAATGAAGATAATGGCCTAATGGTTTTAACAGTAGACTATTATTGCAGAAATTCAAGTAATGCTCTGGACACCTGGGTTTGACTCCCACCAGCGCTGATGGTGGAATTCCAATTTCTGTTAAAAAAAATAGCAGCGCAGGCATATATGGCTTCCTTGAATGGTACATTAGTGAGTAGGCTAACAATGTCACATGGACATCACATTGTTATCACTGTGCAAATCCTGTACAGTCTTTGCAAGTGGGAAGGAATCTTTGATTTGGTTTCATTTATAATTGTTACATATATCGAGATAGTGAAAAGTACTTTTTTGCATGCTAACCAAACAAATCGTACCTGACATAAATACATCAGTGTAATAGAACAGAATGTAAAATATAGTGTCACAGCCACAGAGAAGGTGCAGTGAAAGGTCTAATATATAAGAGGTCAGTTTATAAGTCTGATAATAGCTGATGTTAACTCTGTTAGTATATGTTTTCAAACTTCTGCCTGATGGAAGAGGGTGGAAGAGAGTATAACCAGGCTGGGAGGGGTCTTTAATTATTTCATAAAAACCAAAAGAATTGCGGATGCTGTAAATCAGGAACAAAAACAAAGTTGCTGGAAAAGCTCAGCAGGTCTGGCAGCATCTGTGGAGGAGAAAACAGAGTTAATGTTTCGGGTCCGGTGACCCTTCCTCAGAATTTTTTATATGCTACCTGAATATCTGACTGCATTATGGACATACGCATGACTAAACTTGATTAAGGGATTGGAATAGTCATTGTTAACAAGCATGACTTCATCAACAAAATGCACACCATTCTTAAA